GGCCCCGCCCCCTCCAAGTCCCGGTGGCTGGGGGCTGGCTGCCACCTTCCCTCTGAAGCGAGCAGGCAGCCTGACAGCCCTCCCTTCCGCTCTCTGTCCCCCAGAACAAAAAGAAAAAGAAGACAGATTTCATCCCCTACCGGGACTCAGTGCTGACCTGGCTGCTGCGGGAGAACCTGGGTGAGGATGTGGGTGGGAGGCAGAGGCTGGGCGGCGGGCACAGACGCTGAGCGGAGAGGGTGGCTGGTGCAGGGACCCTGATGCAGGTGTATCTCTCGGGGCAGGGGGCAACTCCAGGACGGCCATGGTGGCTGCTCTCAGTCCTGCAGATATCAACTACGATGAGACCCTCAGCACCCTCAGGTAGGAAGAATTATCCCCATCCCCCGCCACAGGTGAGGGCAGGGGGGGGTCTCTGAAACCCATGCACTGCCATGTGCTCTCCTCACCTCCGTGGCAACCCTGGCTGGGGGGGTGCCAGCGGGGCCCTTGCAGGCTCAGACAAGAGGCCAAGGGATTGTCCTGGTGTGGGGATCCTCCAAAGAGTCGTGTGCTGGAGGGGCTCAGTGGCCCTCCCGCTTGCCCAGCAGCTAGGGGTTTGCCTTTCCCCAGGTATGCTGACCGTGCCAAGCAGATCCGCTGCAACGCCGTCATCAATGAGGACCCCAACAACAAGCTCATCCGGGAGCTGAAGGACGAGGTGGCACGCCTGCGCGACCTTCTCTACGCCCAGGGCCTTGGGGACATCATTGACAGTAGGTACCACCTGTGGTCCCTGCCGGTGGCTCCGGGCGGAGGCGGCCTGGAGGCTGTCCTGCCCGCGGGGCTGCTGCCCCCCGGCCGCCCAGCATCCTGTTCTGCCAGCCGTGCGGCAGTGTCGCACTGCCCAAGTGCCTCCCTCAGGCCCCTGTGCCTGTGTTCACAGCCCCCAGCCCACTCCTGTGAGCAGGAGGAGCTGCTTTGCCCCCAGCAGACCTCCCCTTCTCCCCCTCCACCTCCTGTCTTCAGCATCCCACGCCCGGCAGCGGTGCCAGGAAGGTGCTCCTGGGGCTGCGCCCGCCTGCGGCCTCTCCTCCGTGTGCTGTCGGAAAATCCTACTGAGATGAACCCACTCTTGTTCTGTTCTCTCTGTCTCACCCCCGCTCCCTGCCCTCTCTCTCTCTCTTAGCCCATCCTGCTGCGGGAGGATCCAAATGTGTGTATTCCCCATCACGGGTACTCTCTGTTGCTTCACAGCTTTTGGGAGGCATAGGCTGTGCCCGGGGGCACCTGGGCAGCAGGAGGAAGGGCTCCTGCAGCCAGCCCCAGCCGGTGGAGGGGCGCTCGCCTTCAGGCTGGCTGTCCCCGGGGAGCTGGCGAGGGTCACAGTTAGCGCCGGGGCTCAGGACAGCGCTGGGAGGGACCAGTGTCCTCCCCCTGCGCCACGTCGAGGGCCCGGTCCCTGCAGAGACCCCTTCCTCCATGCTGTCGTGATGTTCCCTGTCGCTGCTGCTGCTGCTGCTGCTGCTTCTGCTGGCGCTGGAGCTGTCGGGACTGGAGCTTGGCGCGGCACTGGGCCAGCTGGCACGGTGCTCTTCTGATGGAGGGGTGCATGGGGACGGCCAGGAGGTGTTTGCCTGTGGGTGAGCACTGTCGCCCCATCTGCCCAGCCAGGCAGTGCAGCCAGGCTGCAGACGGGGGCCGTCCTCTCCCCTCCTGGTTGGGGTCCTCTGGACACGGGCTGATGGAGATGGGTGGGTGACACCGCACCCGCTAACCTGTGTCCTGCCCACCTCCGGTGTGGTGAACTGAGCCCCCTGTTTTCTCAGGTCTGGAGGAGCACCTCTGATGCCCAGGTCCCTTTGCCACGGGGTCCAGTGGCAGCTGATGCCACCCTGCCCTCGCTTTGCTTTCGCTCTGGCTGCCCGGCCCAGGCACTGCTTCAGCAGGCAGGGGCTTGGGCTCTGCCAGCGAGGGGTTCCCACAGCTCCTCCTGTTCTGTCCCCACAGCCCCTTCGCAGGGCAGAGGCCGCTGCCTCCCCTCCCTTTCCCTTCCCGTTCGCTGCCCCCAGATCCAGCTGATCTGGGGCAGTTGGGCAGGGAAAGCCACCTGGGCTGTGTCGCTGGGGGAGGGTGGTGGGGCAGCAGCACGCTCCTGGGGAGGATGATTGATCCCAGACCTGATGGCTGCAGGATCTGGCGTTGCAAAAACGCATCCCTGGGAACCTGGGAAATCTCCAGGGCTATTCCCACAGCCGCTTCCCAAAAGAGTCATGTGCTCCAGTGGGGTTGGTCCAGGCTGGGGGAGAGCTGCACCTGCCTGTACCCTGCTGCTGCCTGCGCCACTGTGCTGCCGCCTGTGCCTTTCCCTTGTAATTCCTGGTTTTCTTCTCAACGCACCTGGCCACTCTTTTGTTTTTCCCAACAGCTTTTCTTGTCTCTATCTTTCTCTTTCTCTCTCTCTTCCTGTCTGTGTGTCTTTCCCTGGCCCTCCCCTACTTCCCTGCCCATAGATGTGTCCGACTTTGAGAACAATAACGATGCTAGAGGGACAGAGCTGAGTCACCGCCATGACAATCTCTCCACAGTGACCAATGCTATCGCCGGGATCAGCCCCTCTTCCTCCCTGTCGGCCTTGTCCAGCCGCGCCGCCTCCGTTGCCAGCCTCCATGAGCGCATCATGTTTGCTCCGGGCAGCGAAGAGGCGATTGAAAGGCTCAAGGTAAGGGGCCGGTGCCCAGCGGGACAGAGGGCTCAGCTCAACACTCATGGACTGAGGCTCGTGGAGGGGGCTTGGTGTGTCCTGGAAGCCCATTATGGGTGATGCTTATGGGGAGTGATGCTTGGGCATGCTCTTGCGGAGCGGACAGACCCAGAGCTGCCCAGCGCTCTGGACTGCCGGGTGGGAGAGGGTTTGGTGTGGTAGGGTCCACCTAGTGCTGCTGTCCTCCCCGTGGGGTGACCGTGGCCTTTGCTCTGCGGGATGGGTGCTCCTGGTGTGGGATGGGCGCTCCCAGCTCAGTGTGGTGCAGGAGGGGGCTGGCAGCAAGGGGGTGGAGAGGCTGGTCTTCGTGCCTCGCCGCTTGAAGATGGGGATGATGGAAAGATGTGGGTGAAATGCTGCTGCAGCTCATTGAAACCAGCCTGAAACTGGGACCAGTACTGTGCTGCGGCATGCTGGGCAGCACCTGTGGGGTGGGCAGCTCTGCTGCCCGTGGGGTGGGTCTGCTCCCCCCTGCTAATGCCACACTCGCCAGGAAACAGAGAAGATCATCGCGGAGCTGAATGAGACGTGGGAGGAGAAGCTGCGGAGGACAGAAGCGATCCGGATGGAGAGGTGGGTGGGCTGGTGTGGTACGGGATGGAGTGGTGTGGTACGGGACGGGGTGGGATGGGATGG